CAGAGCTGTCTCGTCTACCTCGATGACGTCGTAGTGTTTTCCAGCGACTTCGACGAGCACTTGCGACGACTCCGAGCAGTTCTCCAAGCCATACGGACCGCCGGACTCACCCTGAAGCCGTCAAAGTGTCGGTTCGCCTATGGCGAACTGAAGTTTCTAGGTCACGTGGTTAGTAACGAAGGCGCTCACCCCGACCCAGAGAAGACTCGCGCCGTCGCAGCATTTCCAGTACCGACAGACGAGAAGGCCGTGCGTAGGTTTCTTGGATTATGTGCCTACTATCGACGCTTCATCCGGGATTTTGCAAGGATTTCCGCACCACTCACAAACCTCACAAAGGACGCCGAGAAGTTCGAATGGGCCGAGAAGCAGCAGCAGGCATTCGACGAGCTGAAGCGACGACTGCAGACTCCTCCTGCTCTAGTACATTTCGATCAAGATGCGGAAACCGAAATTCACACGGACGCAAGTAACGCTGGACTTGGCGCGGTACTGGTTCAAGTACAAGACGGCACCGAGCGAGTTATCGCCTACGCAAGTCGGACACTGTCCAAGGCGGAGAAAAATTACTCCACGACTGAGAAAGAATGCCCCGCTGTCGTCTGGGCAATCACGAAGTTTCGTCCGTATTTGTACGGGAGCCCGTTCCGTGTAGTCATGGACCACCACTGCTGGCTTGCGAACCTCAAGGACCCGTCAGGACGCCTCGCTCGATGGAGTCTACGACTACAAGAGTTCAACATGACTGTGGTCTACAAGTCAGGCCGCAAGCACAGTGACGCCGACTGCCTGTCCAGAGCCCCCATCCAAACACCTTCCGGCAGCAGCAACGACGAAGACGACGAGTGCTTCCTAGGTGCAGTGAACACCGACGACATGTCACGACGTCAAAGAGACGATCCTGAGTTGCGCGCGCTAATCGAGCACCTCGAAGGACGAGGGGGTACCGTCCCCCGTGTCTTCTAGAGAGCCCTGCCGACTTTCGTCCTCCGACAAGGTGTACTTTACAAGAACTTCGGAGACAACAGCACACCATGGCTGCTGGTAATCCCCACCGACCTTAGAGCGGAGATCTTCCAAGCCTGTCACGACGACCCGACGTCCTGACACCTTGGTCACAGCCGTACGCTGGCCCGAATTCGTGAAAGGTATTACTGGCCCAAGCTGCCGAAGACCGTTCACTTCTACACACGGTCCTGCCACGAGTGCCAGCGACGCAAGAAACCGCCGACGAAGCCGGCAGGTCTCCTGCATCCGATCGCTCCCCCGACCGTACCGTTCCAGCAGATCGGAATGGATCTACTTGGTCCTTTCCCACCATCGACGCAAGGAAACAGATGGATTATTGTCGCCACAGATTATCTCACACGGTACGCCGAAACGAAAGCCCTTCCTGTAGGGACTGCTGTGGAAGTCGCCAAGTTCTTTATCGAATCCATCGTCCTCCGGCACGGCGCACCCGAAGTTTTGATCTCAGACCGTGGATCATCGTTCATGGCCCAGCTGACGCAAGAAATCCTTCGTCTCAGCCACACCAGCCATCGGCGCACAACGGCGTACCACCCGCAGACCAACGGGCTGACGGAGAGACTCAACAAGACCATCGCCGATATGATCTCCATGTACGTCGACGTGGAGCACAAGACATGGGACGAGGTGTTGCTGTACGTCACATTTGCCTACAACACGGCCGTGCAAGAGACCACCGGGGTGACACCCTTCCAACTGGTTCATGGTCGTAAAGTAACGACAATGCTGGACGCGATGTTACCCCACGAACCGGCTCTCGACGGAAGCGTCGACGCCCAGGTGGTTGCCCAACGGGCAGAAGAAGTCCGCCAGCTCGCCAGACACCGTATTCAAGCCCAACAACGTGTCGACAGTGGCCGCTACAACCTTCGTCGTCGGGACGTCCACTTCAGGCCCGGAGACAGGGTGTGGGTGTGGACACCGATCCGCCGCCGTGGTCTCAGTGAGAAACTCCTAAAGCGCTACTTCGGACCCTACAAAGTACTTCGTCGACTCGGGGATCTGAACTACGAGGTGATGCCCGACGGAACACGGACTTCATCACGCCGCGCTCCACGACCGGAAGTCGTCCACGTCGTGCGCCTCAAGCCGTACTACGCGCGATAAGACTGCGAACCGTGATCTTGTGCACCGCTTGATAGGATTGTGTTTCGCGGGCCTCCGTATATTCCCATTTTTTTTTATTGTTTCGCTCCGTTTTGTTGCCTTTTACGTGGCATCGAGACGATGCCTTTTTAAAAGGGGGAGTAATGCCACGCTCGTCAGCGAGCGACCGCGCGCGTGGCCGAGTGGTTACCGTGCTTGACTGTCGTCCAGAAAGTCTTGGTTCGATTCCAGTCAGTGGAATGCTCTTTTATTTGTTCTTTCATTGCGTTCTCGTGAGTTCGAGAACATTCTCGTCAGATCGAGTTCTGAATGTTCCAGTCGCCGAACAATCTAGGCCGATTGTTCCAGAACCCAACGCGCGTACATAAGGGACTCCGCGAGCTGATCTGCAGTCAGTTTTCGCCCAGCGTTCGACTCTGCTGCTACGCCGACTTCGACGCCCGCGACGCTCCGCTATTATCTTTTGTACCTTTTTATTTTTGGCACAAGTTCGCCACATTAAATGTTTATTTCTTTCTGTTTATTTATTGTTTATTGGTCACCACCCGTGACAATATTAGGTTAATTGTCAAATAACGACAGATTCACACGATGAACTGAATTGCGGTTTTCGTCTGTGGACCAGTTATCACATGACCATCACGTCGGCAATCCCTGCGATCCGCACCTTGTCCGTGGACGCGCATACGCGTCCTTTTGACGAGTGCCTTTTGACGGCGAGTGCCTTTTGATATGCAGATTTTTGGCAGGTGATTGACTTGAAAAGCATGTACGGTAGTCTAGGAACAGCAAAACAATCTTTTTTTGTTTTCGAATGAGCCAAAGATGGCGCACCATTGTGTTTTGTCTATTTCCCACTTCCGTTTTGTTGCCCTAGGCTTGGCTACACGTGTGAAAGAAGCTGCACGAAGTTTGCCCAGCCGACACGCTGCAGGTTCTGGTACTCCTCCGGGTCGGTGTCAAGAGGTTTCTGTCAGAACTCATCTAGCACACCGCAATCTTTTCTGCACGTCTATCCAGTTCGAAACGGGTGGGGGCGGCGGGGATCGAACCCAGGAAGTTCCCAGCGGAAGCTTTCGCTCCACGCTCCGAGCTGAGACGCGTTAGCCCACTCGGCCACTTCCTCCCCGCCCCGGCCACAGGTGGGTGGCCGGCTTATGTAGCCTGCGGGAAATAGACACGCCCGGGGAGGCCAGTAGAAGGTCACTCGAAAACCGGACGCGTCCATAATCACTCCCAAGGGTGTGCCGATGGCGCGTTCACCCAGAAAGGGCAAGGGAGAGCCGGCCCCTTCGGGGAATTCGGCCTCGTGGTTCCTTGTATCCGGGAGGCCGACGCCATTGGCGACGACGACTCCCACGGCCTGCTTGAAGCTAGGCCTAGATAGGGGTAGAGGGAGCCCCATGGTTCCCACACCTTTCATGTTCTGATTTTGTTCTATTTTTTCATTAGTCACGTATTAAAAGGCTTCCATAGTAAAAACTGACAGATGTATGTCATCTACCTTCCTCTTTCTCTCAATCTAATGCCTACCAACTCAGTCAGCAAAGTAACCCAAGCGCCCCCCCCCCCCCCCAACAACCCACAATAGAAATTACTGGTTACCACACTACCTTAAGACATGCCGCAATTGTACGGTGGATGTGAATCAAACTAAAGACAAACTTTCGGTCTAAGGAAATAAATAGTTAAAAATGTGACAAACATGGTTGTAGCCTAATTTTCACTTCTGCACCTACAAGAACAGTTAATTTTGTTTAAAAAGGTAAAAATGAAAGCCGCTTACAACTCCCTGTAACGCCGAATTAGAGCGCAGCTCTTGAGGAGGAGGAGGGAAGGGCACTGGGGGGGGTTAAACTAACCAGGGGGGGGTCACGTTACCTTGGGGGTCACGTGACCCCCAATGCCGATGATGTCATCACTGACGTCACTGATGACGTCATCAGTGACGATGACGATGCGGGTACCGATGACGTCATCAGTGACGTCGCTGATGACGTCATCAGTGATGATGACGATGACGATGCGGATGCCGGTGACGACATCAGTGACGTCACTGATGACGTCATCAGTGATGATGACGATGACAATGCGGATGTCGGTGACGTCATCAGTGATGATGACGATGACGATGTGGATGCCGGTGACGTCATCAGTGATGATGACGATGACGATGTGGATGCCGGTGACGTCATCAGTGATGATGACGATGACGATGTGGATGCCGGTGACGTCATCAGTGATGATGACGATGACGATGCGGATGCCGGTGACGTCATCAGTGATGATGACGATGACGATGTGGATGCCGGTGACGTCATCAGTGATGATGACGATGACGATGTGGATGCCGGTGACGTCATCAGTGATGATGACGATGACGATGCGGATGCCGGTGACGTCATCAGTGATGACGATGACGATGTGGATGCCGGTGACGTCATCAGTGATGATGACGATGACGATGTGGATGCCGGTGACGTCATCAGTGATGATGACGATGACGATGTGGATGCCGGTGACGTCATCAGTGACGATGACGTCATCGGGGGGTCACGCGACATCGGCGGGGGTCACGTGACCTCGAGGGGGCCACGTGACCTCAGGGGAGTCACGTGACTTCGGGGGGTCACGTGACTTCGGGGGGTCACGTGACCCCCACGAGGTCACGTGACCTTGGTGGGGGGCTCGCGCGGTGCATTATGGGACATTTCCCATGATGCACCGCGCGGTTACGCCGACGGCGACGGCGACGGCGACGGCGACGGCGACGGCGACGCCGACGCCGACGGCGACGCCGCTCAAGCCGGAAACGGGCCCCTAAGAGCTGCGCTCTAAAAGCACAAGGCTATCAGGTAGCTCACCGACAGCAACCACTTGGGGGGTGCATGGTAGGGAGGGCAGCAGGTCTATAATGGTATTTCCTTCCTGAAACTTGCAATCAGGAGTTGTGAAGAAAAACAATCCAAACATCTGGAAGCAAACATTCATTCTCACACCATAAAGTAATGTAGGATAACCATAGCTTGCGAATTCACTTTATCTTCTTTTCTGCCATAGCACCTTTCTTCTTTCATTTCAGATTAGGATAGAAACTTGCACCTAGAATTCATTGAAACAACTGTATACTGGCAACACGTACCTCAAGTACCTGCACCAGGGTCTCGGTCTTTTCTTTGAAATAGCACGCCGATTGTGGCAGCAGCACTTTTTCTTTTGCCATGGCCTCACCACGCTTCTCTGCCTCTTCGGCTTGGACAGTCCAAAACAAAATCTCCCTGTTTGAGCTCTTTGCAAAGTGCCTGGCTAATAATGCAGTGCATAATTTCAGTCCTTCTGGACTGAAATTATGCACTGAGTCTTAGGGTGGATATGAGTCCGGTGATCGCATTAGTCTGCGTGATGGCGTGACCCTGAGGGCCATGGCCATGATGAGTCGCGGTGAGCGCTGGTATATTCTTAGCTGGGTTGGTCACGTGAGCTCCCGGGCCGTCTTAGTGGGCGAGGAGACTCTCGCTTCGCAACTACTGCGTGGGGTTCGGGCCTTCAGGGTTGGTTTGGGTGTCGCTCGCCTGCTCCTTCGCCATGTGAACGCGCCGGTTGCTGTGGAGGGCGGAGGAGGGGGGGGGGGGGTGCTTGTTCTTGCAGGCTCCTCCTTGCGAGCGCCCTCCGCAATGTCTCAACCAGCTGTAGAGGGCAGAGGGGGTACGAGGAAGGGGGGGGGGTCGCTTTCGTCTCTCCTCGGCGTTCGCTCTTCGCTTCACGGCAGACTGCGAGACGCCAACGGACTGACGGCGCCTCGAGGCGGCGCGGTAACGTCGGAGTTGGGGAAGCGCTCCAAACGGCTAGCGCTCCTCTCTCTGTGGCATAGAAAGGTTCGTGTGTATTTCGGTTCCTGTTGTCAAGTTGGTGTCAGTGGGCACAGAATTTTATGATTGCGTCAACTATAACGTTCGCACAGCTGCAATAAAATTAAATGACTCGCATGATCCTCATCAGCACCCGGAATTTTATTTCTCCGCGCACCTCAACGTACCTTTCGCAATGAGTCATCACTCAGGAAGTGCGACAAAGGCGGTGTCATGATTGATCGAAGCTTCGAGTGAGGTCTTTCACATTGTGCGATATCATGCTTTTAAGTGTTGTTTGGGGCAAGATGGCGCAAGTGCATGACAGCCAGCCGGCAATGGCCAGGCGGTGCCACGAGAGTGCTGCATTCGGCGCCACAAGCGGAGGGGTCTCTCTTAAGCGCAAACCGCATGGCGCGTTTTTGCTCGCGATTCAAGCGCGTCGGCGTCAAACTGACGTCATTTCCTGCGCGCGGGCGCGCGTTTTCGCGAGAGCGTTGGTTTCTAGCCGACCCAGAACAAGACGCGCGCGCCCAGGCGTCAAAGCGGCTCTCGCCCAATGAGGGTCGGTCGAACTATCACGTGATCCTGAGCAATACGCTGTTTCGTATTCAGCACATTTCAAAATGTTCAAAAGCATTTTTATTTTCCACATAAAAATTGAAAAGGTGTTTCTCTTGACACACAAACCCGCTTTATTTACTTATTTGTTCATTTAATTCCCATTTTGTAGTATATGCGTCAACATTTACATCGCGTGTTGAGAATTCTGTTATCTGGCAACGCTGATAACGCGCAGCCGGCGGTGCTTGGCTTTGTCTGCATGCGGGTGCCCCCGCGTCAGCTTCCGCGCGAGCGTTCATAGCGCGTCGCGTTTTCGCGTGTAGAAAAACGCGCCATGCGGTCTGCGCTTTAATGGGTCAGCCAGTGGCTAGTCTGCCCGTCGGGCCTTGGCGAGCGGCGGCGAACCCGATTTCAGCAGTCCCCGTTTGCACGTGCGCGCCATGTCCCTTTTTATTTTATGCGTTTTTTTTAAGACCATCGGGAGCCTTGATAGGTCCAAGTGTTAAAAGCATAATCTGGAGCTGTCATTTGGACACCTGTTTGAACTGTCTTCGTGCACTTGCGGCGTCGCTCTATAATAATCGCCGCCCGATCGGTCTGTGATTCGCTCGTCTCTCAGGAAGTGACACAACGCAACGAGAAGGCAGCGAATGGGTTTACTGTACTTCCCGGTTGCCCGTCTTCGAGAGCCGGCAGTCCGGACCCGCCGACCCTAGTTGTCGCCCGTCGTTCATAGCTGGTAGTCGGAGTCCGCGTCCACGCCTGTGGATCGTCCTTCCCACGCACTGCGTACGCTAGCTGTTCTGGGCTATCACAGCCAGAGTTTCTCTGCAGAACCACTCCTGGACCGTCATGGACTAGGCCGATAAGGCCAGGCTCGCCGTTTCCGCCGGTCCTGATTCGAAGCTCGCTGGTGGAACGCTCCGGGGACCGCCATGGGCCGGACCAGCCAGAACGGCTCTATCGTTCCTGCCCCGCCCCAGCCTCGTGCAGCACGCTCTTCCTCTTTCCTCGCCGGCTGGCCCCCGCTCGCGCCTCGCTTGACCGTCCTCTTTTTCTCCCGGCGCCCCCACGACACTAGAATAAAATGTGGGTGATTAGAACCAAACTCTCCGTGCTAGAGAACGGTGCCCAAGTCTGGCGACAGGCAAAAAAGTGTGCGTGTGAGAAGGATATTTACGCTTGGCATAAGCTTTTACAAGAAAAAAAAAATTGCATCCTGTTTTCTGCACGCCGTCACATTTGTTACCAGACTCAGCATTAAATTTGGTAGCCGAAACAAACAAAAATGTGCTCTACAAAAATCCACTATTTAAAAACTTGCATGCTTAAAAGGTTTTGGTTGCGACCGCGCGTGCCGAACGGCGCACGCGGTCGCAACCAAATGCACGCTTACAACTACGAGTGCCGGAACAGGTCGAAGGGCATCTCGCTTGAAGACCTGATCGCCTGATTCTCGACGTCAAAGCGAAGCAACAATCGGCCCAATTTTTCCTACTGTATTTCTCTAAATGGTTGTCTCAGAGACTCGTAAAAAAACTAGTATAAATACGTTATTTTGCAAAAGGAGTCTGTCAGACCACTTTCCAATCCTGCACATCTATTTTCGTTCACTTCAACAATTAATGTAAAATTCACTTACTTGATGCATCGCACTCCAGTAATCCACTTTGTCGCCGTGTCGCTTCCCAAGGTCTTAAAGGGAAGCGGTAAAGTCTGACGCTTGGGTCCCCTGCACGACCGTGGCAGTCTTTCACGCAGCAGTAGCGGCGTTTATTTTTGGGGGAAACTCTAGGCTTAGGGGAGATGTCACAGGAACCCGGAAAGGTCATAGAGACGTGAAGTTGAGACTTAATTTTATGAAAAAACAATTCCAAAAAGGCTCACGCCGATCCAAAATGCCACGTTCACACGTGGGTTCTTAATGCGCCCGCCCACAGTCCTCGCGACCCAGGCCGTCCTGGACTATCCAATATACCAATTCAAAAGGACACGTGCCTTCTGCTGATACATATCTTTCAATTTACAATGCAGAGGCAAAAGAAAATTAACTGTGTACATCTACCACTTAGCATAAGCACCTTTTGCCATTCATTCTTGAGCAGACTCACATATCAGTTTAGGTTTCTTTTGTTTCAGAAGCTTTGCCCTCTTTTGTAAAAAGAAAAAAAAAGTGAAAAAAGCTTTACCTTTGTTCTCCTTCTGGCATTTAATACAGACTTGTTTATTTTGCAGATCACACACAGCAGATATCACCGTGGTACATACAACTCGAACGGCCGATGAGACTATTGCTATTACAATAAAGCTTTCCACAAGAGCCAAAAGGAGGCTTGTAGGGGTGCACAAGCACATCGAAATGAGATTGGCGCTTCCGGGGCTTGTTTACATTATGTATAAAAACAGGACGATCGGCGACCAGCTGATCGCAATATAACACCAAGGATACCAATGTTTCCATACATAGAACGCAGGATAAAGACCTCAGTCGTCCCTTGTATGCTGTAGCTGTCATGCTTTCCATCCAACCGCTTTTTAGCACAATTAACTAGAACAACCGAAGAGTTCGCAACACCGTTTAATGCGAGGCCTGAATGGTTACTTCATCTAAGCAACGCCAACGAAAATGTTTGTAGCCGCAGACCGATAAGTTTAGTTTTAGATAAAGTACGCGTCATAGTTTCAACGCGCCAACATTGTTGATGTGCACCTTTCTTTGGACCCAAGTACATTCGGTTCAACTTGAAGACAGCTGCACCAGCGTGAGAGCTCACGTCGAACACTTGCACACATATATTGACTATGGCAAGATTGCTTGCCTTCGACTGGCTTGAACACTTCATTTGTAGCATCACGGTAGGTCTTGGTTGAAGCGATGATCGTCTCGCACACGTAAACAAACAGAGAACAGCACGCTTTGTTTAATTTATACGCTACCGATCTGCGGGCGTCGCAAATCTATCCCCCTCTTGTCCGCCTTGTTGGATCGATCGGAGCGCCCCCTATATTCGCTCAAGCTCCTTATGCTCCGACTCTATAACAATGCAAATACCTCGTTCATTGGACTTTTAAAGACTACCGAAACCGACAGATTAACCTCTACGTCACTACCTATTTCGGAACACTTGCAAAACCGCAGTTTTGGAATTTCGCGTGCATTACTGGGCACAAAATAAGCCTCACATGACGCTACAAAAAATGAGCGGTATACTAAGCCACCACTGCGTCGAGAAAAACTCCTTTTAGAAAAAGTTTGGAATGATTCAGCATCTCGCGAGCGTCAAGTGTGCACGCGGCCAAAAGCACGACAGAAAGAAAGCACGACAGAAAGCAACTCCTTTTAGAAAAAGTTTGGAATGATTCAGCATCTCGCGAGCGTCAAGTGTGCACGCGGCCAAAAGCACGACAGAAAGCAACAATTTTTTTTTTTTTATAGACAGGCCGAGCACGCGGCCAAACGGCCATACGTGTGCAAAAGGCCGCCGCGCCGCACGCACCACTCCAGCAACGTAAGCGACGTAAGCGCACAGCCAACACCACGCACAGCACACTGCACTGCATGCGTACAAAGAGTGAGGAGCATTTGCGCTTGCGCCACCTGCGCCCTGTCCGAAGCGGACACCGTAGTGCGCTGCAAACACGCGAAGAACGCATGACGTCAAGGAGCCAACGCCGCGTCGATGAAAGAGAGAGAAACAGAAACGTCGTTAGACGTACGAGTAAAACAAAACGAACAAAAAAAGTGTCGACGAAATGTAGTAATATGGTGGCTGAGTAATAAGCTCTGTCGAGCATCGAATGTCGAAGAAACGATCTTCGGATGACACATCGATGAAACAAATGTCGAAGAAATGATCTGCCGATGAAACATCGCAGTGTCGATGAAACAATCTGTCTATGAAACCTTGTTCGACGAACTGATTGCCCATTATAAAACTGCGCGTCAAGAATGACGCGGCTTGCCACATGAAAAGTGGCGCGCCCTACATGATCGAGAGCGCGACAAAGAACTACATGGGGACGGCCGCAAACCCCAGACCACTCCAAACCAAACCAAGCAAAGTCGTGCCAAAGTCAAACGAATCCAAACGAAATCAATTCAAGGACGGCTGCATGTATCAAGATAATAAATGCTGACAGTATTTTATAAAGGCCGAGATGACTGAAAAACATTGCCAGCCGGTGATTCTCCTTAAATCGCAGCCTACTCCGGCAAGCACGGTCGATCCACAAAGTCAGAAGCAACTCAAGTGAGAAGAAAACTCGCCCACCGCGGCCTCTGTTCATAGAATAGCATACGACTGACAGACACCACTGTCAACAGGGATTATGGTGAGATTTCAAACCGTCGTCACGTGCAACCACCCTACCTAATATAACCGTTCTTTCCCCCCCCCCCTCTACACACACACACACACACACAAAATGGGTCGATACCCATATGTTTACTATATATACATTCTGCATAAACTTCCGTAGAAGTACCTGTGGGTGGCACAAAAAAAAACCGGAGGTGATATATGTAGTAGTTGTTTATCTGTGTACAAATGAGCGAGGTATGCACAGCGAGGCGATGTTCTAATCACTGCGACATTGTCTGTGTAACCTGTCGGAAGGCGCGTTTCTGTTTTCCCGCCGCCCTTGTCAGCAGGCGAAAGTTAAACGCACCCACTTTAGTCAGCTTGCATTTAGTTTCTTTCGTAATTCATCCAGGTTTACGAAATTTGGTAGAAATGTGCGGAGCATAAACATTAACATAGTACATTTCTTTCAAATTGGATTACTGGCTCAGAGGTTTCCCCGCCGCACGACTCACGCGAAGACAAACCAAAGGCTTGAGAGAAACAAAAGAAAAGCACGAAGAAAGCAACCGGCAAGCGTGATGACCTGTGAGTGTGATGAGCGTGAGGACCTGTGTGAGGACCGTGAGGACCTGTGTGAGTGTGAGGACCGCGAGGACCTGCGAGTGTGAGGACCGTGAGGAGCTGGGAGTGTGAGGACCTGTGAGTGTGATGAGCATGATGACCTGTAACAGTGAGGACCGTGAGGAGCTGAGAGTGTGAGTACCGTGAGGACCGTGATGACCTGTGAGTATGAGGACCGTGAGGATCTGTGGGCGTGATGACCTGTGAGTGTGAGGACCGTGAGGAACTGTGAGTGTGATGACCTGTGAGTCTGATGATTCGTGATGACCTGTGAGCGTGATGACCGTGATGATCTGTGAGCGTGACGACCGTGATGATGACGGCGAGTGAGTTTTGGTTTTGCGTTGAGCCGTGAGGGTGAGTCCGGGTGATGATCCTATTTTGAATAAATCGTGATCGTGAGTGCGCGTGAGTTCTGATTGAGGAAAAAATAGTGATCGTGAGTTTGAGTGAGGACAGCTTAAAATGCCGACCTATGGTTCTAGCAAGCCGGTCCTGGGAATCTAGCAAGCTCTGAGCGTGCATGCATGGCCAATGCACGAGGAAAGCCAACGAGTGCATGAATCGAAAAGAGGGGCCCCGAGCTTCTTTTCCCATCAGTGACTAGAAATGCACATTAGGAGTGTGGCAAGTACAGCCCGACAATTTAGTTCTTTCATCTCAAAGGCACTTTGTTCACGATGTGGTGTCCCTGTGCAAGGTGCTCAGAACTATTATTTGTTAAGGGCATGAAATAAATACATCACATGGATCAAGACATTAAAAAGCCCTTCAATTGGATCCTAACCCAGATGTTGAAGGGGGAAGGGATAAGGGAATGAATTGGCAGAAAACTACGTATTACTGTCACCTGACAAAGCATTAAAGACTCAAGGCAAAAGCATCAGTTTCGGCTTGGGAGTACAATAAAGCACTCGACTGAATCAAGGTCCACCTCTGTAAACAGAACTTATAAAAAAGGGAGCGGTCCCTTCTTGTTTTTATTAGACCAAGCAATAACAAAGGAACATTCAGAAATTTTCTGGAAACGCAAAATGAAAATGAACTTTACTGTGGCCAAGCGAATATGGCCGGTAAGATGTAGAATCAAGAAGCTTTTCTTGATTGACAAGAACTACGTCTCCAGTTGGATCCTGGAGGCTATACAAGCACATAGCCGGCAAGAGTGTAGCTGGGACACATCGAAGCAGAAATGCTATCTCTCCCGATGCACTGGATGTAATGCTAGTCACAACTCCAAAGATTATGTCGAAGCGATTGCCTGAAATAAGCACATAGTCACCAATTACATAAGTTGTTCCATTTACGACAGCCTTTTTGTAAAATGTCAGATTTCTTGCTGATTCGACACCTCCAAAGGCATGAGAAAGTTCGGACACTTCATCTGCTGTTCGTGAGCTTTCGCACCATGAAGCTCGACATCTGGCGGAAACAGACCGCGGGAAGTCGAAAACGCCTGAAAGAATTGGTGCCTTTCGCTTAGTGTTTGGTCACATTTTTAAAATTTTTTGTCGAACGAATGCAATTTTTGAAGTACTGGAGTTTGCTTTCGAATCTGAGTGTCCATACGTGAGACAATGGACCAAACTCTTGGATGAGGTCACCATAGTGCAACATATAATGATGCTTCGGCCTCAGTTTGACATCAGGAAAAAGCGCTTTACGGTTGTGGAGGTGCGTCTGGATTAAGACCTTGAGGTAAGCAACCTGTGCGTACGTTATTTTGGGTGCCATTAGCAAGTCAATTACTTCCATTAACTCAAGACTTAACTGCCACACAGAGTCGCTTGGATCAATCACTTTATCCCCTACATACAGCGGCAGCAGCCGCAGGAACGTCCAGTTCTGCATGGCGTGGCCTGCAAGCTTATCGCCCTTGCTACTCACCTTACATGGCCTGTTTCTCAGGTCCCGTGCACTGTACTTCAGAGCCATAATCTTTATGTTTAAGTAGTCATAAGAAAACCACCTTTTGCGCACAAAGTACCTAATGAACAAGGGCAGATCATACTGAAGTACACCTTCAAACATATCATGACCAATACATGGCGGCAAGCCAGCTTGACATACGTGAAAGCTGCTTAGCACGTTAAAAGGCGAGTCGCTCACAACACCATACATGCCACATTCTTCGTCGTCATGTGTAATGCAAGTTTCATAGTTTTCCACAGACCTCCTTTCACCTGTCAGGGTTGGGTCTTCATGAAATTGTGAACGAGTAACTAGGCAAAATCTGCAAAAATATGCAGACGTGCTAAAATTTTGCGTGAACCCACCGACCGCATGGCTCCCTAAATTATCCCCTACAATGAAGCACAGCTGCACTCTGTAGAGCTTCCCTTTGATCTCCAGACCCACACGTTCTAGGTAGCACAGATCGTCAATCAATGGTTGAAGAATTTTCTTCAATCCAAACTCTTTTACATTTTTTTGAAGAGCAAGCAACACAAGCTGCATACTCTCGGTACGAGCCCTACAGTGTTGCGGCAAATTACCAAGCGTCAGATACACACCCAATAACTTAAAGTTTCCTTTTGCAGACCCCAATGATTTGACAATTCAAATTCATCTTGATATAAGATGACTTGTATAACATCGTCAGAGGGCTGAAATTGTTTACACGTTGTGAAGTCAGCGAAACATTCATTGAACTGATGTGACCTATAAGGTTCCTGGGGCAAGTTGGACATCAACAAAACTATCGACTCGTGCACAGGCACATAGTGGAAAAAAGAAGGGAAGTTCTGCTTGTTGGTGCCAAGGTTAATCTGAACTGGCTTTACAAAGTGAAAACGTTTCTTAAAATACTTGTGTCTCAGGTACGATGATTTCAGACTACCTGATGTCACAGCATCAAGGTCATTGTTCCTAAAATGACAAAGCACTAATTCTAGTGTATCACTAGGAAGGATTTTGGCAAGTTCTTCTTCCATCAGTTTCTGACTAAGCTTTTGGAGGTTGTCGACTTCATTCACAATATACTGAACCGTATCTGCAGGGATATGATGTTGGGCTTCTAATCGGAGGAAAAACAATGCCGCATTGTTTCTAAAAAGTTCATGATCCGAGACGTCTCTTCGATCACAGGGCTCTTCATGGCTGCTTTCTTCAACAATGTCCAGTACGGCACTTGGGTCATGGGACTCCTCAGGGTTTTGCTCAGAAATGTCCAGCAAGGATATTTCGTTTCGCGGTTGTTTTGGTGCACGGATATTTCTTTTAAAAACAGTAGATATTCAGATACCCAATTATCCTATTTTGCTAGGAACGCTTCATGGCCGGCATTTACTTTAAATATTGTAATTCAAATATAATGTTCTTCCTAAAGTTTATGTTAATTAAGAAAAAAATTGTATTACCCTTTATGGGCAGATGTAAAAATTTTAGAAAAAAAAGCTAAATCATTACTGACCATCTTATTCGCTGAAAAATTTAAGGCATAAATACCATTCGTCTCTGAACAATAGCATTATGCACGTATCAAAAAGTGGAAAATATTCTTAATATTTTCTGCTCTTTGGTTGCACATTTCTGACAATCAGTCTCTTAGCAGTTCCCTTGTCTGTTAACTTGTTCACGCATATACAACAGGGTAGCCTATAGTGCATTAATTTCAGCTGAAATAAATACACTAACTTATGGTTTTTGTGTCGATTAGTTTCATATCCCTAAAGTTTAGTTCATCGCAGTTTAAGTTTTATGAATGTTTTATTGTTCAATTCAAAGCTTTACACTTTATATTTTGCAAAATTAAAAGATAAACAAAAATACAAGTAACCCATATCTTTAAGAAAGTCGTGCTTGTTCTTGCTGGAGCTTCTATGCTGATTTTGATATTTATTCAAATATTACGTCTGCATCCCGGGTAGCGTTAATTGTGAGGTCCAATAAACTTAGTTTATGAAGTATTATTTAACTAAGCTCGAATTCATTTACAAGGCGTCAAAACACACATAAATAAAATGTAAATTTATGTAATAAAATAGGACTCTTACTTTTAGGGGCAACTGAAAGATGATCATACATTTTAAATTAACATACACCTAAAAATTCCTGCACCGAAGAGCTTGTGCACCAAAACGTACATTTGAATGTGAGTGCGTTGGTTTTCAATAACTTCTTACAGAAAGAATAAACAAAAAGTCAAAAATCGCAAAATCTCCGTCCTTGTCTGTCCTTTTTGTTTATTCTTTCTGTAACAAGTTCTCAAAATGTTGTTCACCGAAAAGTTAATGCATCAATATACCGGTGCACCGAAAAATCCGCACAAACTTCCTCTTGTGAAAATCCCTACACCGAAATACCCTACCTGACTTATACAGTGTTTCTGTACGGATCTTTTTAAGGAAAGGGGGGAAAGCTACACCAATGCGGCCTGCACGTTGTGAGTTGTTGGGACAGGTGAACATTATATGGGCGTAATCGTCACGTTAAGTCGAATAATTACCTAAAATCCGTTCATTCACTTTTTAAGCAAGTTAGGTCATGGTGCCATTGCAGTATTGACGAAAATTACTATTAGATACTGAACAAACAAATTTTGGGAAGTGGCAACAGGCTTTAAAACAAGTTAATGTTTGAAACATTATCTTGATCGGCGAAACTCAATGTAGAAAAAATGTCGCGAATCCTGTCCACAATCGGTGCATAGAAGCACGTCGTACTCGTTCTGACATTTTTTACTGGTGTCGGCTGCGTCCCGTCGACGCACACCAACGATGCGCTGCTGAAATAGTGATGACGTGATTGTAGACAGTACTTACCGCGATTCTGCATGCAGGTTTGGAATAGGGCAATAAACCCTTGTAGATCAAATAGTTGAATACCTCGAAATCCTCTACTTTTTTCGAAAATTGCTTGAATTTATTTAGGTTCTCAGCATGACGGTTTTTAAAACTGCAGTTAGATTGCTAGTCTATCCATTATTATAGAAAAATGAAGGTATTTAAATTCTTTATTTGACTTGTCGTTACAATTATCTCCGATTTATCTCCCTACTGAAAAAAAAAAACATTTGGCGCCTGTATGAAAATAAACGGGTCCATACCGGTAACAGTTTAGCCATACCGGTCACCAGTTTGCCAAAGGGTCGCCCGTATGGCTCAAAGGGGTCCCCCGTATGAGCCATAACGGTCCCCTATTTGGACAAACAGGTCACTCCTTTGGCAAACGGGTCACTCTTCGGGGCAAATGGGCGACTCGTCTGGGCAAAGTTGACGCACGTTTGCTCAAACCGATGAACATGTTGCACAAGCGGGTGACCGGACCGTCAAACTGTACCGGTTTAATCAAACGGCTCTCGGGAGCCCGTTTGATATTGAACGTACAGATTGGCGGCCTGGGCACGCCTAGCTGTTTGAGCCGTGGCAGCCAATGTTTCCGGAAGGCTGGCTGATTTCAGATCGTCCGCGTAATGCAAGTAATTGTATTTATATTTTAAGTGCGCTGATGTGCGCTTATACTGCAACTAAAACGAACACTTTTTTTTCTTTTTTTACGTAAACGCGCGACGTTCGTGAGCCGATATTTTTGACAGAACTTTAAAACTTTTGTCCATCTTTTTTGCCTCAATTTTCTTATTCAGCTCGAATCTCTCTCGCAGAAGACGCGACCGCATGAAAGAATGCACTCCTAGAGTCCGTTTCACTTCATTTCAAGACGCGGCGAAGGTACCGCGAACACGTGCCGGCAAGAACATCGAGCATTGCTAGAGCACGCCCGCCGTTCCAGCAGTCAAATTACGAGCTCGTGCTGGGTGCTTTTTTGGCTCGGGTGCAAGCCGAGCTCATGGCCGACGGTACTTCTAGCGTGCGTGCTGAAATGCGCGCGTTTCGCCTGCTTTCCAAGGCTGCAAACGCGAAGTGCAGTGCAACTCCAAGAGAGAAGAAAAACGCGTGCACAGCGGTCCGTGCACCCTCTCCCCTAGCATTGACTGCAGTGCCACAAAAAGTCAACCGCAAGTTTTTTTTTTTTTTTCTTTTTTTTTTTATAAAATGCATGAGGGAGAGGGTTGCGAGGGAGGGGGGTGGGGTGTCCCGGTGTCTTGCTCCTTGACCTCGCCGTCGGCCCCTTCCTCCTCTCTGGTCGGCTCTGTCACGTGACCAGAGAGAGGGTAGGGCACGCTCCACGCTGATAAGCATAGCCAGATGCGGCTGCGCGCGCTTTGACAGTCGCTTGTTTCTTTGTCTGCTTGTTTTCCGTTGCAACTTCGTTTGTCCTGCCTGCTTCGATCTGCCGCCTTTCCCTGCGGTCTTATAAGAATGTCTCTGGACAACGTATGGGATGTGCACCAAATGTTCGAAAAGTCCTACACGTATATCGGCGACAAGCGATTCTTCAAAGAAGTCGGGAATTCTTGCGGTTTGGCTGGGTTCGGCAAATGACAGCTTGTGCGCCGCATCGTGTTGAAACTTCAAGGAGCCTTCCTTCTCGTTTTTGTGTTTGTGTGGTTGTCCTGCTTTGACCGGCGACGACAAATATCACGGATTACATCTGTCAAGTCCGCTATTATTATGGTAAGTGCACTGCAAAATATGTGTTGGCAACGATTGATCGCTCTTCTACGCGTTATCCGTAGAATTATGCAGCGCCTTTTCACGCGGCAGCGGGGAGAATAATTTCCTCGAAAGTCTAGCTCTATAGTCTAGAATTGCCTCGGTTCTTGTTTTCTTTGCAATCTTCTCAGTTGTATAAAAGCTTAAAGTGCCTCGCACATTTCACAGATGGCTTGCATG